TCTTAAATCCACCAAAACGAACCAAGTTGATTATCCATTAAGTAGCATGATTAATTAAAAAAAAGAATCTACTTCACTTTTCCTGTTCCATCCACTATTGTAAGATCACACTCAAGAAAGAAGTGAAACTGATAGTAATTAATAAAGGCATTTAATATCTTGCCTCTCAAATCCACCAACCCAGTAGATTACGTATTAAGTAGCATGTTTGATAAAAAAAAATCTACTTTTATATTCCAAATGTGTATTTATAACTGTGGGCCAGACATGATGTTAATGCTTTTATGATTAGATTACCCCTTAGAGACCTAAGGGAATTGTATTCAAGTAATAGAAATAGCTTCTCTGCTTGCAAGGATAACAGTACTCGTACTGACGACCCTTGGGGATTCAAGCAAAAGAAATAGCTTCTTTGCATACAAGGATAGGGCTACATGTATTGACCATCCTTAGACATGGCAACAACAGAAACCTCGTGCATTAGACCATCTCCTTTTCTTATAAACTCATACTACGAATTGTAGACACATCAAATATTGAGTGTCATGTCCATATCAATAACACCAGTAAGATTCTTCGTGACAAGTGCCAGGTACCTTGGAAATTATTAGGACTAATGTGCCACTCATCAGTGATTTAAAAAGCGCTAGACACCAAAAGGTGCCAAGGTCCAAAAACGCCTGAGGCACTAGGCGCTCGCCCAGGCACTCGCCCGAACGAAGTGAGGTGCTAAAATATAAAAATATATAATATAATTAATAAATATAATTATTTAAAATTTTAAATATAAATATGCTATTAATTTAAGAAAATCTAAGGTACCAAATTACAATGTCACATTAACAAAAAGTCTCAAAATTCAAAATAATAAAATTTTACATCAAAGTCATTCATCATAATCAATATTATCGTCATTTTCACACAAATCATCTTCATTGAATTCATTATCTTCCTCTTGTCCTTCCTCTTTCATCAAAATATGTTTCATTCTCTATGTCTTCAACAATAGCAAGAGCCAAGCTTGATGCTTTTGCGCTCATTTTTCTCTTTGTCATTTGTCTTGTATATGTTTGTAATTCTCCAGCACCTGAAGCTCTTGCCACATCTCCCCATGTCAATCTATCATCTTCAAATACAAGCTCGTCTTCGGCATTTTACAAATTGGCACCCATTTCTCCCACCAACCACTCATTTGAATCATCAATATCTTGCAATGATATTGGATCAATTCTATTTTGCAAATCATGACGAGCCTTCAAAACATGATTATACTTTATGTAAACAAGATCGTGTAATCGTTGATGTTCTAACCGATTTCTTCTCTTTGAGTGAATCTATCATGTCATATAATTTAAAAATATATTAATACATCTATCTAAATTAATTAATTAATTAAAACAAAAATATTTAGTGATCCTTATATGCTCAAAGACACTCCAGTTTCGCTTACAACTCGAAGCACTACATATCAAACTAAGTACTTTGATAGCAAATTGCTATAAGTTCGACGTGGAATTTCCAAATAGACTCCACCATTCAGCTGCAAAATTTATGTTATTATTAGCAATAATATAGTAACATACTATAGATGAAATTAATTATATCAAATTGTTAATACCTGGAGACATAATTGTCATGGATCGAGTGGCCATTGGAATTCCAAAAAGACCTTCGACGTTTTTATATAAAGATAATTCACAAATAATCGTATCTTGCACCTCAAGGCTTGGAACTAATCTTACAATGCACTGATATAACTCATCCAAAACTTCCGCATCAAACCCAACAGATTTAATCTTATAAAAGAATTCAGGGTTCAAATAATATCATGTTGCATGTAAGGGACAAAGAAGTTGGCAATTCCATCTTTTGTCAATGATTGTAAAAATTTTCTCATATTTTTCTTTATTTTCATTAAAAGACCTTTTAATCGTCTCCTTTGCTCTATCCATAGCCTCATAAATATATCACATTGCAGACTTATTTTCATTATCCACCAACCTAAGGACTCGAATAAGAGGGCTCATTACCTTTAATATATAAACTACATGATTCCAAAAGGATGACATTAAGATGAAATCAGTAGCCCTCTTGCCTTTTGCTTCTTTTGCTCATTTGCTTGTCACCCATTTCTCAGAGGTAAACATGTTTCTCAGATTATGTTTTTGACGATACACGCTATGTAATGTCGAACGAAGTAGCAAATCGGGTGACACCATATCTCACTAATTCTTTGTTCCTTGTGAATTCTTTCATCATATTCAAAGCTCCAATATGATTATAAAGAAATCCAATAACAAAAATTGCTCTTTTTAAGATTTTCTTGATGTCTAAGATCTTTCCAATATCCTCCAACATTAAATCAATACAATGTGCCACATATGGAGTCCAATATAAGTAGTCTTTTTGTTTCAAACAATTTACCTGAGATAAAAGATAATAAAAATGATAAGACTTAAGAATTTAACACATTTAATTGAAGATAAAATAATTAAAAATTTTAAAAATTTAAAAGATGAATTAGTTGCTTTCATTGTCGGTTATGATTTGAACGACATTTTGTTCTCTAATTTCTTTCACGAACTTGTCAATTAAATCATATATCTTGTCTCCAGATTTTACAAAAGATGAAGCATCTATTGACTTCACAAACATAATCCTTAAAAAACAGTTAACCATAAAATTAATTATACTCCTGCGCCTCCTGTCAGTCCAAACATCTGATATAATAGAGCAATCATATATTGCCTATGATTCTTTATGACCCTTTAGTAAGTCATTTGTATAATTCAACTATTTTTGCAACAATGGAACTCGCATCTCATAATAACTTGAAGGTTTTAATCCCGCATCATATCTTCCAATAACTTCAATTATTTCCTTAAAATTGTCTAAACGAGTTGTACTAAGGGGAAGACCTGCCTGATAGAAGAAGCGAACAATGTGTTGAATTATTATTTCTCTTATTTCTTTATCACAAGCATCACTTATATTTGTTTGTCTAAATTTTGAGCCTCCTGCTTGCCCTTATTGCTTCTGTGATCCTTGAAACATATATAGATCCATCGATCCTTTTTTACCCTTCTTAATACTCATAACTTCATTTTCTATTTTGTCGTATACTTTTTTCCCACTTGAGTTAATACTCATAGAATAATATTCTTCTTCATCCCTGAGATGTTCAAGGTTGTCTTCTGGTAAATTCTCGTAAGATTCATTCTTTTGCATATTCTTTTCATTCAAATAACTCAGCTACTCTTCTTTTACCTCAGGTGGACACTTTTTGCAAGCTACTGCATTCTTGAAATTTCTTACTATATGTTGTTTTGCACGAAAAATATCATCTCTAGTAGTCTTATCGCAAAACATGCAAGTCACTGCATTAAGATCTTTCGGATCCTTTAGATAATTATACTTCCATGCAGAATCTTTTTTTGATGTCATTGGAGACTCTATTGAGTTGCTTTGTACACTTGTCATTTATCCTGAAACCTAATAATAATTTTAAATAAATAAAAATTAATAGTATTAAAATCAAAATAATATATTATTAATCTAATAAATACAAATACTGCTACTAGTATACAATTAACAGTATACTATCGAAAGAGAAGAGAAGAGTGTAAGGGAAGACCGAGGGTGCTGACTGAGAAAAGCGGGAGCGACAGTGGCGAGCGATAACAGTGGCAGCGACAGTGGCGAGCGACAACAGTGGCAGCGACAGCGGCAGCGGTAGCAGCAAGCAGTGGGAGCAGGAGCGGCGACAGTGGCAGCTACAACGGTAACAGCGAGCAGCAGCAGCGACAACGGGAGCGGCGATAGTTGTAGTGGCAACAGCGGGAGCGGGAACGGTGAGCGGAGACAATGACAACGGTAGCAACGAGCAACGACAGCAGCAGTGGGAGCGACGATAGTGGCAGCGGCAGCAGCAACGAGAGCGGCGACACTGGCAGCGGCAACAACGGGAGCGACAGCGTGAACGGCAAGCAAGGTTAAGGTTGGGGAAGTCGTGCTGATATCGGTGCCTTAGTTGGTTCGATTGAACCAACTAAAGCACCGGAGACCGAACCAGACCTAAAACGTTGGTTTGATCGCTTGGTTTAAGCCAGGCGCTCGCCCAAAGCGCCCGACGCCTGGGCTCGGGCGAGCGCCCAGGCGACGCATCTTTGAAGCGCGCCAATTGGAAATAAAGCGAGGGGCTCGGGCCTCGCCTTGCCCTCGCCCGAGCACCTATTGAAATCACTGCCACTCATGGACACCAGTCTATGCTAATCGAAATTGTTTTTTATGCTAGCTCCTGATGAAAATGATTGCAGCTGCATGCTGATCAGGTTTGCCAAACCTACCAATGAAGCAGAATGATGAATTACAAATGAAACCATTGGAATTATCATCAGACTGTCCTTGCAAATTATGCATTTATAGATATGTCCATCTACATAACTCCCGAGGCAGAATGTAGAGGTGCTACATATGGAATGCAGACCATAATTCATGAGCAGAACCTTCACATACATATATCTGAGAGCTTGCTCACCAATAAGGTAGTAACGTGAAAATAGGAAATAAAATGTAAAGCAAAGACACTGTATAACAAGCATCTGTGCATGATATCCTACAAAAGGCAGGATTAAATAAACAAGGTAGGTTACATATGCAGTTTACATAATTAGATGCAACAGTAATGTTTTAGCATCCTTTAAATTATACAACTGAAGATGCAAAAACTGTCGATAAACATTCTACCTCTGTGAGTGAGAGTCATCACGTGTTATGTAATTCCTCAATCAAACAGACACTATCTAAGTCAAAGTGGTCAACTATTTCTGAGAAATACAAGGATACAAAAAATTTAGACAACCATCTGCCTTAGTTATTATAGTACTTAAGATGGTTCAATCTGTATAATTCAAAATTTGTTGGTATGCACACTGATAAACAATTAAAAATATGGCCAAAGTTCACATTAGTTAAGAGCAGTATAATTGACAATTTAATACCTGTCATGAACAAATACAGCTATGTCACATGCCGCTAAAGACTCCTTACTAGAAAGCAGGTTCTTGACTTTTATTTCTGCTATTTCTCGCATTACAAGTATCTTTTTATCACCCTTCATAAGCAACACATTCAAAATCAGATATGGCAAAAAGAATACTGAACTTGTTCTAGAAAACAAACAGTGAAATATACAATTTGAAGATCCAATTTAATTTGCATTTGTAGTTTATGGTATCCTAACAAGTGAATTACCAGGTAGTCAAAAGAACTGAATCTGTGCCACAAAGAAACCATAATTTAAAATTTTGAGCCTGCTAGTCCACATCAGTACCGGCCAGCGTGGCTGCTAGGCAATTTCTCCTGCTCTTGTTTAAAATGAAGCTTACAGCTCGGTGAGCTCACCATGCCAAGCTTCCCAAGCAATAAGCTGACAGGTACCAAGCTATCCCAGGTGGTAAGCAGCCTACTGTCGGGTACTGGTACTGATCCCTTTTTCATGCTTTGAAAAGCCATTGACAGTTGTCGTATCTTGTTTCTTATTCTCTCTCTTCTTCCACTGGCTCCTTTTCATCCTTCTTTTCTCTTCCTCTTCTACCACGGTACCACCACCTCCAACTCTCCTCCTATCATCGACTACGGCCTCTCTCTCTCTCTGCTGGTCCAGCCAGTTCCAACCTATCCTAACTTGGTACCTTACTGGCGCAGTCACGAATTGGTATTGCATTTGACCAACATCTTAATCCATGAAAGAACACAATTGCTTGTACCAGAAATATAAACAACCACAAGCTCATTTGAGAAGCACAAAGATCATACAAACAATTCTAAAAAGTATCTGCAAGGAGTTAAGGCCCACATAATGCACCATATTGATCAATTGCTCATTTTGTGAATTAACAGTGCAGAAGAAAACATGGGTATAAAGAGAGAAGCAAACACACAAAAAGGGGAAGAAAACAAAGCCTTTGATAAGAACTAGCAATTCTAGAAAAGATGATGCATCATAGTCTATCTATCAAAAGATAAGAGTCAAAATCAGTCTAGTATAAAAGACCGGGTAGGTAATCACCCAGTATAGACCAGCTTGAACCACCCAGTAGAGGCTGGTCCAATTCTCGACCGACAGTTGGACCGGGTGAATACCATCAGTACCATATGGGTCCAGGCAGGTCCAGGGCAGTAAAGAATTCTTGGTCCAAAAAGTGCTATCATTTGGTGCAGTAGCATGGGAAAACCTCATGTGCTACTGATATTTGAAAACTTATAATTATAACCCTACCAAATAATGCATTTTTTGGGTAAAGAAGCACATAAAACTAGTGACAGGGGAACACTAGTTTACATTAAATCTTATGTGCCATGTATTGAGATCATGCTGGATTTGGGTAAGCAAGAGACACGACTTATGACATGCAGCAGTAACACTCCCAGCTTCGTGCATGGTTATGGCACATGGGCACATACCCATTGGGTAAGCTGGTACTTTGCTGGCATGTGTACATCTATAAATCCCTACATGGAACAAGATCAAAACCTTGAGTTCTCTGTGCTATGCAAAAAGCTGCATAATAAGCCTTAAACATGCTAACAAATTAACAATATTTTTTCAAATCAAAATAAAATCAAGCAAAATAAATTAGCATTTTAAGTGTTACAACCACAAACAAAAAATGTACCCTCATGAAATGCTTGCATATGCATGGTTTAGTTTTCTTGAGACGATCAATTGCATGAACTCAACTTGTATCTTAGTCATACAAAATTACCTTTTCATAAACAGAAATTAGAACTTTCTAAACCTAACAAATAACAAAAGCAATAGTTGCAATTTATAAAAATATTAACGATTTTAAAGAATAACTAACACCTCATGCTAGAGAAGAGAGGTGTGAAGTGGGTGACTTGTGACTCAAGATAAACAAATGGTCTAATGCCTCGATGAACCCTTAAGTGAAACATTGGTCGATACCTTATGGGCCCCTGTTATCTCTTCTATCATCACACAGGGAGGTTGAATGGGAAAAGGATAAACGACTAGAAAGGTGCTTGACCATCCTCTGAAATCAAACTTGTAACCAAAAACATCCACTTGTATATACAAAAGTCCTATTTTTGAAGATTTGCCATGTTGATGTGTCCATTCCAAGCCTATGTTCATTCTTTATAGTCGATACTTGATAAGTATACGAGTTCTTGCTAACTTTATTCTATTTTGAATTTTCATTGTTAGAATACATGTTACTGGCATAACATTTCACCATGTGACCTTGATTAATTCTTAAGGTCATATTTGTTAGAATCATCAATCTTCACATACTGATACAGAGGTGAATATTCAGTATTGCATTACCCTCATAAAATGTCCAAGATGTGGTCTCAATACCTTTTCCGTATTAGCTTGGACTGGTAAAAACTAAACCAGTTTTTACCTTTTCATAATTTTTTTGGAACCAAAAAGATCAATGATGATGTATATTGAAGTTAATTTGTTTGATGTAACATGTAGGATAGATCAGTAATCATGAACTGCAAGATCCAATGTACTAATCCAATTGGGCCACTCTGGATCAGCATTGGTGAATTTAAGCCCATCCAATTAAGCCAGATGATATTTGAGACTGATCAAGGATCAGTCAAAATAAATCAATCTTGGGCTGAACTCCTAGATCTCGCCAATCTTGATGATCTGGTCACCTGCCAACCATAAAAAAAAATCTTGCTTATATTACTAATTTTCGGTTGACCCCACTATCCTCAGGCTGATTTTTATCATTTCAAAAAGAAAATAAAAAGCTTCTATGATCAGATTCAACTAATCCAGATTGATTCTGATCTTAAACACCAAGACCAACCACATGTTACCTGCAATATTGGAAAGAGTAAAAGCAATTATCCTGTATCATGCATCAAAACTTGCAAAGGGATAGAGGAATCAACTAGACCCAAAAACTCCAAATTTTAATTGATAATCCAGAGTTCATATGTAAATAAACTTGTAGTAGTACAAATATATACTTAACAAAGTTTGCAAGAGCAGAAATAGAGTTGTTGCTTATACAATCCAAGACAGAAAATTCATTCATTGTTAAGTTGCACTTACATTATGGAGTCCCACAACATTTGCAGCAAACCGATCAGATGTTGTGGGATTATATTTCTCCGAAAATGTTCTGCACAATAAATGGTCAAATAAAATAAAGGAAAAGCCAAAATCCTGTCAAGTCAGGTCAAAAGCTAACACGTAAAAGCTTGGTCCTTATCATGAACCAAATAATAGTAGCATGCAAATAAGTGACAGATAAGAAAAACCAACAAATGGCTTACCTTCCAATAAATGAATTTAACAATGTGGTCTTCCCGGCATTTCTAGAACCAAAGACAAAACACTGAAAAACATTTCTTTGGGTTTGCTGCTTTTTGCGATCTAACCTCCTTTTTCTTGTTATCTGAAATGCTGAAGCAGGATCACCAGTGTATCCAATGTATATAAGGTTAGCCAGACTAGCTGCTGGATCTTTAAGTGTCATGAGAGCCCACTGCAATAGAATAATATTATTCCTATCAATAGTGCATAACAGAAAATTGATGAATGAAGAATTCCTTTTTGACAACCTTATTTAGCCAATCAAAAGAGGAGGAAAACATCATAGAACCTATGCCACCCGATAGCTGAATATAACTAAGATCAGCTAACAAAGGAAAGGCCAGACTTATAATATGTAAAAAGAATTCAGTTATCTACAGTAGAGTATGTCAGCATAAATGCAAAATTATGTTTAGCAGTGTTGAACATCTTAGATCACAGAGAGAAACTCCAGCAGTTGCCAACATATTTACTAAAATTGACTTAGAACCAAGGTCTGCCATACCGAAGCATACCGTCCGGTACAAGTGGTACGTACCGGTCCGACAGGTTACCGGTACGCGGACCGCCCGGTACCGCTACAGTATTACAGTATTATATTTGTAGCACTGCAACAGTATGAAAAAAATATATAATTGTTCGGTACACCAGGGTGTACCGCTCGGTATGCCCGAATGTACCGCTTGGTACACCGGTACCATACCATACCGAGCCCAGGTCAAAACACCGGTATGATACGGTACGACGAACCTTGCTTAAAACATAATAAAAAGGTGTGATGACACGTTCCATAGTCAAATTTAGGACTACAATTTTCAAATAAGTTACAAAAACACAAGTGAAGCAGGTGGAATAGGACGATACGATTTTAAAATGAAAGATTTAAAATACGGCAAAAAGACATGAGACATTTCAACTTTTTCAATACCGACACATTAGATAATATCTGAGCACAAAACATGCATGAAATAGGCTCTATGCTACAGATTTTACAAGAACTATCTTCTTGCAAATTAATGCTTCAAAAAAGAAATGCTCACTGTTGGTCAATTTCCTAAAAGAACCACAACCACAATAAAAATAATGCAATCAAAAGTCACATCCATGACAAGTTTTCCAGTTTCCCAATGATACTTATGCAGATAATGCTGGCAGGATATGTGCAAGTCAGCATAAAACTATGTTAACCCACTTGGATATTCTGCTAGTACAATGTTGTATTTGGATGACATGGCAAATGCTGGTCTGCTAGATAATATCTGATAACCAGCACATGCAACTTTAAGTCCCTAGATAATATCTTATAACCAAATATAAGTCAAAGATCAGAAGAAATTCATCACAACAATCTCCTCCATCTCCAGATGGACCCTCGCCTTGATGAGGTTCCTCTTCCATTCCATGAGGTGCCTGATGCTTCTTCTTCTACTACCACTTTCCTACCCCTTGCAGTGCCCTTCAATGTAGCGTATCAATGAAAGTAAATTTTGGCTTCTTTGGCTTACTTTGCAATTTAATCATGTTATAAAAATAGTTGGTTTCACTAGTTAGTATAAACCAATCAAGATTTAACTAAAACTGATCAACAAGCCACACATTCACATCTTATATATCACCCAGGACCAGGACTGCATCTGGTCAAACCAATATGTATCACCATGACAGGGCAATACCCATAATTTGGCAATCCTTGATAAATGCAGATGTACAATTAAATATATCATCCTTGCAAATATATAACACATATAAAGAACAAATGTAATTTACTTCTCACAAAGTAACAAATATAGATATGTAGCTGTATATATTTGTACACATGAATCTGTATAGAAAAAGATATAAATTTGTACTATAAACCAAGGTTTGAAATATCATACCGTACCGACGTTTCAAGATTCTCTCGGTACGGTACGATACAGTATACCGAGTGGTATACCATTCGGTATATCGCTCAGTATATATATATATATATATATATATATATATATATATATATATATATATATATATATATATACATATATATATACATACCGTCCGGTAACGGGCGGTCCGTGTACCGATCAACTGACGGACCGGTACGTACCGCCTAATACAGGCGGTATTATTCAAAACTGCATACCTTGCTATAAAGACATACAAACAAACTTGCAACATAAATAAATGCATACTTCTTACTAAAGCATATGCATCCCAACCTTAAGCATATATTCAGTTGATAAACATTAATAAAAACCATTACTTGATTACTTTCCAGTCTACAATATATTTAAATGCATACTAATATAAGTCTGCTAAATATGCATAATTGTGTGTTACATAATGATGCATCCTTCTAGCAGAAGGAGAAAGCATAAATTTGAGCTTTAAACATTCTTGTTCTAGTTATAACTAACATCTGGCAAAATAATCATTATCTTACAAAAATAAATAACATAGAAAGGCAAACAACGGTTGACCTGATAGAAACATGGGAAGAAAGACAAGTAATTAAGTCTAAGTTACACAGAACCTATAAACAAAGTCCATATATATCATAAAATTTCAGGGAAAATACTTAGAATATTAAAAAAAACATGACAAAAGACCTCCGAAAGAAATCCTTCAAGTGACAATCCTCCTAAAACATTCTTCTCTGTAGCATCTTTGTAAGGAGCTTCAGACCAAGGGCTGTCAAAAATAAAGCAAACTGAGGGGAAGGAACAAAAGAAGAAAGAAAGCATTTTGATCAAACATAAATGAACAGGTAGTTTGGCAAATAAGAAAAGTTGCATCATAGGTGAATGAATAGAAAATTCAAACATGTAGGTTGAGCGTAGCATTATAGAATTTTCTCATCATGACCTAAATTAGAACAGCATGGTAGAGTTCGTCAAGCAACAAAGCAGCAAGAGAGCTACTATTATGTCAATACATGCCCCTATGCCAAAAAAAAGGCAATAAATTGGACTTCACTTTGTATTTAGGCCCATCAAAACATTTCTTTATTTTCCAACCTTGGCTTTTCTTTTTACTCTCTTTGCTTCCTTCACACTTGTCCGAATCCTGTTCAATCTGCTGGAATTCTTTTCAATGCTAATTATCACTTTTCGCATTGAAGTCACAAGTGCAAGTCTCATATACACATAGGCTGTGTGATAGGGTGTGATGAGCAAATTTTCTAATTCTTTAACTTGGGCTGATGGTCGATACCTAAACCAATAAATTTGAACTCTTGAAGGGGAACAATTGAAGTTGACTCTTTCCAAGGATCAAAAGACAAAAATACTTCATAATTATTGAAAGTGAAAAGCAGTAGTTTAAAATAAAGCTAATAAACAACATAAAAGCTAGAAATTGGAGGAGGGTGGAAATCAACAGTAAACTAGTGCTAGTGAATAACAAAAAATTTTGAAAATTGGAAGAAAGTAGAGAGAATATGAAAGAAACAACAGGAGGCCACAAAGCATCCAACAAGACAATTTGCTAATTCAAACCATCATTACAAACAAAAAAAACTCATCAGCAACATTTTGTCATACAGGCTATAGGCTATAACTATATTTCTACACAAGTCAAAACCAGGTATAAAACAATCGGATATGATAATATCTAATACAACTTAACTTACTCCATTCCTACTATATCATAAGTCCAACCTTCACGCTGCAAATTAAACCTTTTTAAAGTCTTTGATTAGAATGCATCTGTTTTTTATATCACTCTAGCATCTGCAGCATGAGGGCTCAAATTTTTCATGGTGGTGTCCCGAGCTTGGACATCTGTTACAATGGTTAATAGTCAACAGAATAAAGAACTACAGGATAAAAACCTACAGAATGAGAAAGATATCCCCCTTTCAGATCATTCAACAGGGTATTACTAGTATGGAGATGTCCTCAGTTAATTCCTAGCTGTAAAAACCATCCTCTTCCCCTCCTTTAAAGTCATTCAAGAACTTAGGACATGCAAACACAAGATTCCTCTAATAGTAGAACTCTGAAATGTTTTAGGTAGGCCAACACCATACTTTTATCGAATAACTCTAATGCCTCATCTCATTTCTTATTGTCAAGTCTTAGCTACTGCAGCAGTTGAAATTTATATATAGCCGAATCAATCTCATTGTTTGTTTTCAAAATATGTAAGGAATAGCACAAGTTACATGGCCTTTTATTTCTATTTACCAAATATTTTTGTTAGGCAAGAGTAAACACCAAACTAGCAACAAACCAAAATAAAGAGTAATAATACGATTTCCACTTATGCTGTTTTCGGTCAAAAGCTTATAAACACTGTGCAACATTGTTTTCTGTAGGAACCAAGTCCATGTCTTACTATGGTCGAGACAAAAACTGTAGTAACAGTTTTCCTGTGGAACTGAGTCCATGAATGATCTTCCTTTGGTCAAGGTAAAATGTTGAAGGTTTCTTTGAGGAAATCATGAGTAGAACATGGCATTTGGTCAATGATTTGAGCAGTGCAACTTCCTACTCTGACTTCAGCTCTTCAAGCTTTCACAGATGGAAGGAGTACATATAAGAGAGTGAAAAGATGTGATTGCCTTTAGGATTGTGCCATTTTGTGTCAATTATTACCCAAAAGAGGCTAATGTCTTGAACTTCGATTAGGTTCCAGGTCAAACAAAAGAGTATTTAAACATGACCTTGCCACAGCATGCAAGTCTATGACATTCCAGTGTCAAAATTATATGTGCCAATTGGAACAGATTAGCATGACTACTACATAATATTTATGCTGTTAACTTCAATAAAGAACAAAGCACAATCTTTTGTCAACAGATGTTGACACTAAAAAAATGTTTTCAGGGACTTGAGTTCTTAAAGGGTGACGCAAGCACCAAGACACCGTATTAACTTATGTTTCAAGTTAACAATCAATCTACAGCAAAACTAAATCATTAAATGTAAGTCTCCTGTTTCGCATTGGTTATTCTAAAAAGTCAATGTCGCACTTCCATATTAATGTAAAATTTGCAGCGAGAAAAAACTAATTTATTGTAGAGGCCTGCTCCAGGTACATGGCAACTTTTAATGCCATCAGCAGCTGTGTCCTCCAAGCAATTCTATACATAAAAACAGAAAACGATAGGAAGGTTTCAACCAGGGTTTGCCGTACCGACGGTTACCGGTCCGAGGTACTGTAGCAGGTACTGTACATTGCTACAGTACTTGGTACACTCAGGTGTACCGCTCGGTATACCATACCGTACCGGTACCGAGCCCAGATCGAAACTCCGGTACGGTACGGTATTGCGACCTTGGTTTCAACAACTTTAGAAACAACTGTCACATTGAAGATAGCTAGAGATTTGACCTGCAAGTCATAATTACAGTTAGAATTGGTCTTGAACACAGATGGTTATTACAAGCTGCCTAATGCCATATTACGAACTTGATGTCTTGGGATGGTCCTAACATCATGTATTTCCTAAGAGTCAAATTTACAACAAGTACAAATAACCTGCTAGTCCAGGAAGCATGCTTGGCCAAACAAGACTCCATGGCAAAGATGATAACCAATACTTAATGTTTGATATGTATTCAGTTTAAATTTCAATACAAGTTTCCAACAATAATTTTTTCCTGTCAATATTATGGAATTTTAATTCCTTAGTAACACCTTAAGGGTCCAATTAGATAAGTGACCAAGACAATTAAATTACTCTATTTAAACATCTTATTAAAGCTTTTTCACATCATGATATGCTCCTTACTACATGTGAATCAGCACAGGTGGGCACAGGAGACATGCTAGCTGATGCAGTAAACATTCCAATTTAGTAATGTCTGGGCACATTCATGAACCATCACCAGGCTATGGTATCAATACAACCTACACAATGCTGGTTCCATGCCTTCATGGATCCACAAGGTCATAACACTCTATCTTGCTAGTAATCAACTTAGTTGAAGAGTAATAATGATTATTTTGCCAGCGCTTTGACAGGACTAAGTGACATGCTAGGTGGATCCACTCAGTGATTTAAAAAGCGCTAGGCGCCAAGGTCCAAAAACGCTCGAGGCGCTAAGCACTCGCCTAGGCGCTCGCCCGAGCGAAGCGAGACGCTAAAATATAAAAATATATAATATAATTATTTAAATAAAAATATGCTATTAAATTAAAAAAAATCAGGTACAAAATCACAATAAATAAATAAATCATAATAGTATTTTTAATTTTTTAAATAAAAAATATACTATTAAATAAATAAAAATTAATAGTATTAAAATAAAAAAATAATATATTATTAATCTAATAAATAAAAATACTATTATTAGTATACAGTTAGCAGTATATTGTTAATATACTATTAACAATATAGTGAGAAGACTGAGGCTGCTGAGGCAACGGCAGCGGCAGCAAGCAACAGCCATAGCTGGAGCGGGAGCGACGAGCGACGGCAACGGCGAGAGCGGCGAGCGATGGCGACGACGACGGCGGGAGCAGCGAGGGACAACGGGAGTGGGACCGGGAGCTGTGAGCGGCAGCTGTGAGCGGCAGCGGTGAGCGACAACGGGAGCGGCGACAGCAACGACGAGCGACGACAACAGCGACGAGCAGCGATTATGGCAGCGGCGAGCAGTCGACGAGCAGCGATTGTGGCAGCGGCGAGTAGCGACAGTAGCGGCGAGCAGCGACAGTGGCAGCAAAAAGCAGCGACAGCGGAGAAAAAATCTCGGCGGCAAAATCGCGAGTGTTAGGGTTGGGGAAGTCGGGGAAATCGCGAGAGAGAGCTTGATATCGATGATTTAGTTGGTTCGATTAAACCAACTAAACCACCGGAGACCAACCAGACCTAAAAATCTGGTTCGGTCGCCTGGTTTAACCCAGGCGCTCACCTAAAGCGCCCGGCACCTGGGCTTGGGCGAACGCCCAGGCCTCTTTGAAGCGAGGCGCTCGAGCGAGGCGAGCGCCTATTGAAATCACTGGATCCACTCATTGTAGGATCCAGCGGTGTTCTTCAATCTTTACAAACCCACGGACAAATAACATGTAACACCGAACTACTACTTAAGAAACCACATCCAGCATTTCAAATTACATAGGGAATATTTCAGAAAAAATTAGTGAAAAAAAATCCAATTTTGTTTATCATATTTGCTAACATTTAACCTTTTTTTCTCTTTATTCTTATTTTATTCCCACTCATTGTTTTCTTTTACGGTATCTACCAACCTATAAGCTGTTGTTGGTAACTAAGGAATAATAAATCAAATTTCTACATAAGAACATTTCTAGATCATGTAAACATTGGATGCAAGATTTTCAATCTCATCCAAAAATAAACTAAATAGCAAATTTAAAATATACACCACAAAAACAAGCAATCTGTAATTAGTGTTTCAGATCCACATTTGCAAACTTAGTGCAGTAAAAAGAGATGTTTAATCCATCAAGACATGTTTGCAAAATGAACACTTAAATGCATGGATTGCCGACACTCAGCATACTGCACCAGATTGCAGTGTGTTATACCATACCAAGGGTCTGCATGCACACCCTTGGCAATGTAAATAAATTATAAAGGGCTGCAAGCTGCAACAGGCCTCTACTGGCCAGTCGTCACCCAAGAACCATTATAAATGGCAATCCTTGCTTCAGTGTCTTGAGGCAATGAAAAATGGATTGCTTCCCAAAGGATGGTTCCCAAGTAGTAAATGTGTAACAGGTTTTGTCTATCTTGTTTAAAAAAAAAATCACCTTTCTGGAGCAGTTGAAAAAAGATCATCCAGTTCAGCAGGCCGCAGAGCTCCATCCTGGTAACCAAGAATATGTTAGGCTTCACTAAGCAACCATAATGAAGCATAACTATCACAACTATCACAAGTTGTCCCCCCCACTCCATCCACGACATGCTAATCTCAGTGTTGACTAAACCTAACAATTTAGAATTGAATTAATCAGATTTAACCATTAATGAAGACTAAGAAACAAGGAGTCAAAAAGGGCTTATTGAACAAACCCCCAACATTTTCATTTAGAAATTTAATTAAAGGCTAATATCTAAAATACTTGAAATTTTTAACTTCATCTTACTAGTATTTAGATATTTATGGACATAAAATTTACTAGCAACTTATGTTCTATCTGCACATTAATGACACACAAACACTTGTACCGTTGTGGCATTACCTAGAATAAAAATGGATGTGGCTGATTATTATCTAACTCATTGACCACTCTAATGTATACCAACTTGAATTCATGAAATAACAGAGCCAATTTTTTTACAATGAAAGAAGCCCTTGATCTTTTTTCCAATTGCACATCACAAGACACAAAAATACAAGTATTTCCAACAAAGGGACAATATGTCCCACTAAGAATTTCAGGAGAAAACAATGATGTGATTCAGTCAAATATTCATTCTTATACGTATAGAAAATAAATTAATAACAAGAGGATCAAAACCTAACTTCTCCACAAATTTGACAAATCACACCAAATAATCATGGTAAATATTGAAATGTAAACCAACAAATGCTGATAGATGGTATACCTAATAGATATGCAAAGGCTTCAATTATTAACAGGTGTGCACCCAGGTAAGGTCAATTATGGATGAATTTTTCAGCAGACCAGCCTAGTCGATTACTTGAAAATTCGTTATCTCCAAATCTGTCAGTATTGGTGACATCGAGTTGGCTATAGATTTTTCAAATATATTGATTAATAATATAATTCAATTTTAATGGAAGTATCAAGATTGTAGATGGTCTCCCTCAGAAGACTCCAAACAATAATAGAAAGGTCATAGATTGCTGTCTTTGTAATATGCAAGATTATTTGGTGAGCAAAAGGTGGCACCTGGTTATTAGAAGGTCCCAAAAAAATCTAGAGTATTACATGTAGCAACCAGTTGAATTTGCCAAAAATGCAGCTAAAAACTCAGATATAAAAGCTAAATTTGTAACCCTGGGTCCACATTTCAACAAACAAAAGAGGAATGAAATTCAGATAAGTAATTATTTCAATGTCGAACCAATTCATATTTTTCATATAACCTCCTTAGAAACTCTTATCCTATTCTGGTTAGTATAAGCCTAATGATGATTTAATTGGACCTTACAGATTATTATAAATTATCATAAGGTAGACCAGTGTTCCAATATTCCCATCCTTCATCAACAAAATTCATGGCCTAAAAGACCCAGCTGCTCACAGAATAGTGGCAGTGTGGCACATTCTTAGATAAGACCCTAATAGCATAAGGACAATAACAGTAGTCCAAGAGCTCAAATATTCCCTTTTTCCCCCCTAATGGGCCAGCAGTTAAAGCTTATTAAAAAGAATTGTTTAGAAAAAAAGTAACAGAGTAAACTAAGCAGACAGTGTAACATAACTAAAGCTATCTTATCTACATTCTACGAAGCCAAGCCTAAAGCAGGCTCATAAGAAGGAATTTTTCTACTGTTGCGTAATTCGTTAAAATTTATGATAGATTTTACTGGGCAACGAGAGTGCCACTAATGCCACCAATAGAAAAAAAAAAACTTATGAAGGCAAAAAATTTCACAGTTAAGGACCATGTAATTACATGACAATAAGCAAGAACATATAAATACAAGTATAATGAATTGTCATTGTGTATTGAACTATGTGAAAATTAAATTAAAAATATAACCATACCAAAGAGAGAGAGTAAATGATTCATACACTATCGATGTCAAACGTGAGGAAGACTCCCTTCAAAAAGTCCACAGCTTCATTTGTCAGCTCTACAGTCTACAGAAAAAATGGCAGGGTTTTAACTAACAATAAATTGATTTGTTATGAAGCCCATGCAAACTCTACTAGAAGTGTGAACTTGGTATTGGAAAATCATCCATTTCTTCATGAAAATAATTTGTATTTCATGAGTTGATTTTATTCACAGAGCATTCATCTTGGTACTGTTGGTGGGGCTACTTCTTAGTCAAGACTAGATTGACCACCTCAGAACCTACCGATAAAGAAGAAAATAAAAATATCTAGCTCAATGTTGTCACTTATGTAACATGATATTGTAAAATGTCATCAAAAAGAAAATTCAATTCAAGAACTAGAACATATAATGCAACAGAAAAGATGACCATGTAACAGTGAAGCATAATGGATGCCAAAGAGAATTTGCTAGATTAATATTTAAACAGTGTGAAGTTAGTCCAGGTCAATGATGGCTCACTATTAGATCAGTTTCAATAACTTCAAGGTTGGCCAAACTTTCACTGAGATAATACTAGCAAACTTGATATACAAATAAAGCATAAACATACAACAGAATAACTTCAAGTCCAACCTCAGGGATTAGAAAGTGAACATGGTATGCATGTTTCAAGTTCAAATTTAGACCAAATTAAGCAACGACAGTGCCACCAAAGTCAATAGTACCTGATCTGATGCACGCTTGAATATTGTTGGAAGAAGATCATCTCGGAGTTTAATATCATTATCATAACCAAATTTCCTCAACACTGTCCAGGTCGTTTCTAGACGACCTTTTTCTATGAAAAGAGCATGTAGAAAAAGAAAGCCAGTTAATGTAAGCCCAAAATCATTAACACCTTCAGGCAACTTTTCTTGAACAACCTTCTTGACACCCGCAATTTCAGTATGCTGGAGAGGAGCATTAAAACATCTAACCTGACGATATTCACACTAAATTAATATCAATTCTCCTTGATGAATTAATTAAAAAAGCCTACTCTTAATGTATTTGAGATGCATAATTTGTCCTAAAAACAAGCAATCATGGACTAAACAAGGACGGACCTGGAAGTCATTCAACTCAGAATCACTGAGAGCACCATCTCTATCATGATCGCACAGGATGAATATCCTTTTCAAAGCCCTTACACAATGAGGCTTCAACGATTGTGTCTCCTGATCAAACAGTGGGGCTGTTGGATGAAGCACTGCTTTCTGGGCATAATAAAATACTTCTTGGACCTGAAAAGAAACAACATTTTCGAACTTTATGGTATGATTTCCCAAGATAACAAAGGCCAACTAACTCAATTAAACAGTAAGCAAAGATCATCAAAAGAGTGCCAAAGACTCAGGATATACCAATGTTCCAAAACTGGAGTCTGATACTGCATATGCAGTCATGTGATCACATCACAGAAGGCCTATGAAACCTTAAAATGTCTCCATTGCAGATAAAGAACATGCAACCCTGTAGCACATACCTATGCTACAGGTTATGCAAACCACATAAGCATGAAACATGATTACATGTTTCTTTATAATTTCTTCTTATTACTAGTACTTCCAGATCAAAACATGGTCGGAGAAAATAATCTTAACCACATACACATTTGTCCATATCTTATAAATCACCATTTATAATTTTCCTAGATTATATAATATATATATATATATATCAACAGTCACTGATTTAGCAATATTATATATTTACCTATTCACTACTTGAATATATACTAATACATGTATCTTCATTACTCAAGTATAAAGTATGTAAGTGTTTTGATAGGAACCTCCAAATGTGCCACTATATGCAGATGCACACCTGCACTACATGATGTAAGCACCCTCATCCTTTCATCATCTCTAAAGAACATTGGAATATAACGAGAAAACAGCAGGGCAGCATTCCACTTTCCAGCTCTTTAAAGCTGATGTATGATGCTCAACTTATCAGATGAGGCAGCAGCCGAGCTATCGGCTATTAAGACAGTACATACACAGTTGACCTAAGACTTCTCTAGCTGATTACCCAATAAGGACATCCAAGAAAAATTGGCAGGCATGGTGCCATATGGAACAGAAGAACCTCTAGATACACACACCCGATTTAGAAAAAAAAATACTTTTTCTCATCTCCCATGCCTTATCTCTCTTGTGAATTGTGTGCTCTCACTGTCTGAATTCAGCTAAGAAACAAACCAAGCAACATAATACCTACAGTTTTTTATTTAAACAATAAGCCAAGAATGGTTAAATCAGGCCCCACCTCGCAAAATGTAGCTGATTCATAAACAAACAAAGAGCCAAAAGTCACAAAGAAGTATTATTATATAAGTGGAGAGGCTAGGACGAAATCACACCTGAATCTGCCTGAGGGCAGAACATTCGATGCAAGTCTCGATCTCCCGATACTGCTGCATGATGGGCGACATCACCTGCTCCAGGCTCACCTGCTGCTCATCCCGCAGATCCAGCTTGCACCCCACTACGATGACCGGCACCTTCGCCTGCCCATCCCAAAGTATAAGGAAAAACAGAAGCCAGTTACTACTACAACTCAAGACCAATCTAAGCTTAGGAGCTACGGAAAATAGAAAGAGGGTAAAGATGAGAGAACCTCCAATCGGCGTAGCTCAGGGAGCCAATAGGTGCTGAGGCGGTCAAGGGTGGAGGGGCGGTCACAAGCGTACGTCAAGACAATGGCATCCGCAGACTTGCACTCGGCAATCAGCTTCGCCTTATTCTCGGGCCTGAATCAGATCAAGATCGCAAGACTAAGAAAGGATCGGATCAACAACAAAGCAGAAGAAGAAGGAATACGAGTACCTGGAGGAGGTGTCGATGATGGTGAGGGGGACGCGATCGGGGTAGTAGTCAGCAGGGAGGCGGGTGGGAGGTATGACATGAGGGACGTTCTCCGGGAAGGATTCGGTGGCGACGGCAACGATGAGGCTGGACTTGCCCGTGCCCGTCTCCCCCATTACCACCACCCGCACGCTCGTCCGGCCCACGGAGCTCCCTCCTGCTCCTGCTGCGCTACCCGCCATTATGATTTTGCCACCACCGTCAACTTCCTTCCTCGCTCTCCCCTTTTCCTTTCTATAATCTTATTATTCTTCCCCGCGAGAGGAGAGGAGGGAGCAGCAGAAGCAACGGAAAGAGGAGGGTAGAAGCCGCGGAAGTGGCAGGGTGCGTTGCCCTAATCAAGGGAGGGCTTGGAGAAAGAGGCTAGGCAAGGCAAGGCTAGGCAAAGAAGAGCGTTTAGGTAGCGTGGGGTTCGTCACCCGATCGGATTCCTGCTAGGTTTATATGCAGATCCGCAATCCGATATAGAGCTTTAGCGGCGTGGGGTCCATCATCTGATCGGATTCGTGTTCGGTTTAAATCCAGATCCGCAATCCGATATAGAGAGCGCAATGCATCTGATAACCTCATAAAAATAAAATTACACTAAAAACCAACAAATTTTATAATTCATTTTAATTATTTCAATCAAAAGAGTTTGTTGCCTAACAATGCACAACTATCATATGAAGAAATTGTACAGACCTACCAAAACAGTAATTAAAATAGATAAAATAATTAATATTAATAATACGAGAAGAGATAGAGGAAGATGTAAATTTTTTTTAATATAAATTATAAATAAATATTTAAGTATTCTAAAATTAACTAAATATATGAGATTTTACATATTTTAATGACAGTAAACAAATTAATCGATCTCGTTGTTGTTGCAAATGCTAATTAAATTTATTCAAATAATATGAAGTTGTCTTTCATGACTAATCTATGCTTAATTAAAATGATTTATAATAACTCAATTTCAAGAAAAAAAATGAATCAAACACAGATGTATGATAAAGTTTTAAGTTCTACAAAATTCAATTTGAGAACCAATTTCACTATATGTAACATAAAGTCCATAGAGTTTGAAAATCCCGAACTGATACATTGAATATCTTATCATAATTGAAAGTATTATCATAATAACGATGGGCAAGAAACATGAGATTTATGAACGAGCAATTTACCAAATAGCTGCTTAATTATTTATTATATTAAATTTCGATGATTGAATTAATTGATAAGTTTGTGATCTAATAATATATGTTTTGAGTGACATAAGATTCGATCATGGAAAGACAATTTGATTAAAGCGGGAAGAATCAATGTTGGACCGAAGTAAAATATGTCAGAAGATTGGACGTTAAATTGAATGATTGGTTGACATGTCGACAGACGATTTCATATCATGAGTTTGAGCATTGGGCCAAAAAGATCGAACATTGCACCAAGAAGATCGAATGTTACGGAAAGATAACATGTCAATTAGGCAATATGTCAAAGGTTAAGCGTTGGATGAACCAATAACATGTCGGATAATATGTGATTAATGCTTTATAATAATTTGTTTAGTCTGAGTTAGTTTAAGTCTAATTGAGTCGGTATTGGGTGAAACAATGTCAACTCAAATAGTGCCCAATTGGACCTGAATCAGGGGTAAATTGGGCCAACTATTTGACTCATTAGCAGAGTCTAGTGGTGGTACCGTCCACACTAGACGATGGTACCGGCCAGACATACTCTTCAAGATTATGTCAAACAGTGGTACCGTTAGACGGGACGATGGTACCGCCTAGACGGGACGGTGGTACCGCCTAGACATAGTCTCCCAAACTATGTCAAATGGTGGTACTATCAGACTAGGCGGTGGTATCGCCTAGTGTCAATGTATTAGGTAGTAGTACCATCAGATTGAGCAGTGGTATTGCCCAATGTCAAACTAACAAACAGCGGTACCGTCAATACCTTGAAATCTCGATGATTTGAATCTTGGCTTCACTTTTTGAAGTCATTTGGGGCCTATAAAAATCCCACTCATCCTTGCTCAGTAAACACACAAGTTGAGAACAAAAATTGGGGAAAATACTATTGTAATATTGTGAGAATTCCTCTCCTTTAAATGTTGATGGCGAGCAAGTTATAAATGTTATCTACTAAACTTGTAAAAAGGAGAAAAGAGTTGTAAGAGGGTGGTTGGTCTTCTCCCATTAAAGAAAGTGAATGTCGATGACCTCAATGGAGGAGGAATCGGGAGTGGACGTAAGTCAAGACGATCGAACAATTATAAAACTCCATTTGCAGTTCTGTTTTATTTTTCATTATCATTAATATTACTTTAATTGTTTATTGAACTTATTTTAAGTCAAGCACACCTTCAACATTTCCAATATGATTTTTCATTGATCGAAAATTTTGGAATCGTTGAGTTTTTTATCGAAGCACTAATTCACCACCCCTCTTAGTGTCGATTTCGGTCCTAACACATTTTTTATCGGATGGCACGGTCAATATTTATTTTTATCATAAGACATTTTTTTTTAATTTGGATGAAAGTATTTGGATTAAATCACATTGAGACCCATGCATGATTTGATTTTTTTTTTCATTAATCCGATTTAATTTGATTTGATTCACTTTCTCTTCCTTTTTTTCTCCCCCCTTCATCTGATGCTTCTTTTCTTCTCCACCACCTCCATCATCTCTTTTTTTTCACTCAACTACCTCCTCATCCTCCCTCCACTTCTCTTTCGCCTCCTTCTTTACCTTAAAAGTCATTATACTCAGAGCTATAATGATTTAAAATATATTAAAATATATATTACTTTTATATAAAATTATCATAAAACTAAAAAATATCCTTAAAAAAATTTAATTTCTATATAAAATTATTTTAAAAAATTATCTATAAATATTATAATATTCTAATTATATTTGGGTTACACTCTAGTTATACTCATTCGAACATATTAAAAATATTTAAATTTTTATATGAAAGTATTCTAAATTCATTATAAACTTGATTACCTAACTGCACTTAAAATTTATCATAAATTCGAGTGTTCTAAAGTATTCTAAATCCATCATAAAATTCAAGTTATGTTTCTTATTTCTTAAGTTGACCTAGTTGCACTTGAAATTGAACTAAGTTAAGCTTGATTATATAATCTATTTTAAAATTTAAATTTTTTAGTCTTTAGATAATTTTAAGAAAATTATTATAAAAACTTTTGAGAATTCTATTGCAATATAATTCTAACAAAAATTATACTATTTTATTTTATGATAAATTTAAGATAATTTTATATAAAAATTAATATATTAATATGTATTGTAAATAAGTGCAACTCGAGTATAACAGGACTTTTCTAGGTAAACTATAAGGAGAAGGAGATCTAGAAGGAAGAGCGGAGAAAATGAGTGGTAAAGCAGAAGACAAAAGAAGAGGAGAACGAGGAAAATGAGTGAGAAGAGGAGAAAGCCGGTGGGGAGGGGGAGGAGGCGACAAAGTGGGAAGAGGAGATAGTGGAGGTGCAGTACAAGGCAGAGGTGGAGTGAGAGAAGGAGGGGAGAAGAATGAGGGAGGAGGAGGATTATATAGCGTGGGAGGAGACGAAGATGGACGAAGGAAGGGTAGGAGGAGGGTTGACTCAAACTGGTTTATTGGTATTATTAAATTAAGGATAAAATTAAATTAGTTCAAATTTTTAAAAAATAAGGATAAAATTAGTATTATTAAAAAAGAGAGCCATCCCGTAAAAATGAATAGTGGAGCATTTTTCGATAAAAAAATAAATAGTGGGGGTGCTATTAGATAAATTACTCTTTATTGATCCTATTTTATTTATTTACAACTTTTTTAACTTCAATTCCAAACAAATTTTAGATACCTCATGTTAATAATTATTAGGATGGACAAGTATTTATGAAGAATTCCATTACTTTAAATATTTGGAATTCAAAATAAAAAAATCCTTGTGGGCCAAGATTTGTTTATTATGTAAATATTTTGTCTTTTTTGAGATCTGGTGAGGGAAATATAGAGAAAAAATATATTGCATGTTTTTAGTGTTTTCTCTATAATATCTTGAGAAATTGAGAAAAAGATTACCAAGATTTATATGACAGAATTTATAAACGATGTTGGGCCTAGATTTAGTTTAATTCAAAAGAAATTTATTTATAATTGATCCTTTTCTTAAGGAATTTAGTTTTCTTCATTAACGTACGTAAGAAGTAGCTTTTTTTATTTTTATGATTTACCCAACTTTACATGGCTTTTTTAATTTTATTTCTTGTATTGGCTTCAAGTTTGACGATATATTATTTTTCAGATAAAAATTTTGATGTAGGAGAAAACTATCAACTAAGCATAAAATAAAAAAAACCTCTATTATTTATAAAGTTAAAGGTACCAATTACAAGACTTAAAACAACGAAATTAAAAGAATGTAATGAGACTAATAAGCACGTAGGGCATAGTTTGTCTTTGGACAGCACCTCAATGCTCTTAGCAGTTTGCAAGATGCTATCGTCATATATTGGAATCTATTATTTATCTCTTTCTTCTCTTTTATTATTGGAATCTATTGGAAAACTTGGGACATCATCATATATGCAGTGGAAGAACAAAAAATAAAAATCCTATATTTCTCACAGAAAAATGTTCTCATCGTCATGTGAAGATTGGTGCGCAATAACCCGCAAAACCAAAAACTACATATATATAAAAGATGTATTACCTTGGGAGATCGTATATCCCCGAAAACTTGCATATCTGTAAGAGAGGATGAAGGAGGTCAGATGTCCTCCTCTTTAGCGGTGATCCATATAGCGGATGTGGCGAAGACGCTCCTCAAATCGCTATATGATCTTCCTCTCCATATGCACCACGTGATCAAGAAGGGGTGGCCCCTTCTTGCTGTCCACACACCTCAAACTAAAGTTGTTGGCTCAGAAGGAGAGGGAGGGAGGAGTATAGGAGATGGTACCCAAAAGGAGTCTAACTTATGTTATAGGGAATCTGGGGAGGGGGGGGGGGGCGCATCACATACGCAACGGAAGAATATAAAAACAAAATCTCTAATTCCCAAATATGTGTTTGTCATTGTGCGAAGATTGGTATGCAAAAATCGTGAAACTTAAATCTACGTCTATGAAATATTGTGTTACCTAGGGAGATCGTATATCGCTAAATCCCTACGGATCTCTAGGATAGGGCGAAGGAAGTCAAGCGTCCTCCTCTCTAATGGTGATCCACATAGCCAGGCCTACTATTTGAGGTGGAGAGAGGGAGGAGAATAGGAGAGGCAACCAAATGGCTCTAGCCTATGAATCATTAGTTCCCTCCTATTTATAGAGGTCCTCTATCGACTTAATCATAATGGATCTAGCCCTATTAGGTATTGGATC